TCTTCAGGGAATTGGGATCTTTGTGTGGTCTGGATCACCAAAGGCTTGGCCAGACATGCAAGAAGATTCTAGCAGCCACAGCTGTGTGAAGTCAGAACAGACTAAGTTGGTAAGTAATGAGCTCCCCATCACTGATGGTGTGCAAGCAGAGGCAAAACAACTGCTCGGTGTAGAGACCATAGAGCACAATGATTAAGAGCACAGGTTCTAGAGCCAGATTGCCAGGCTTCAAATCTTGGCCTGATTGACCCAAATCTTGGCCTGATTGACCAGCTATGTGACTGTGGGCAATTTTTCTTAAGCTTCTTGAGCTTTGGTTTCCTCATCTATAAAATGGGGATGACAAGAGTTTCTGCCTCATGGGGTTGTTGTGGGGATTAAATGAGTATAATATATGTAAAGCAGTTACAACAGAACCTAGTATATAGTAAGTGCTCAGTTAATATTAGCCTGTATTATCTAGTGATGGCTCAACTAAGGTCCCCGCCAACTCTGGGATTCTAAATGACTGTTGGTTACAAATCTTCCTGAACACGCTGGGGAGAAAAAAGGGATTCTAGCAAGGGTTAGACTGGCCTCCTGGCTGGGGAGCTGGCTGAGGGGAGCACCTTAGAGCTTTGCACCCACTCTTTGCATGCTTCCACCAATGGTTTCCTTTTCAAAGTGCTTTTGGATTCAGTGTCTTAATTGATCCTCAAGATAATGCAAGAAGTACAATTATCATCTCCATGTTATAGATAAAGGAGACGAAGCTTGGAGGGAGAGAGTGACACAGCTACCAAGTGGCAGAACTGGGATGGAAGCTTCCCCTCCAACGCACCGCCGCACAGTCCTCGGGGCCGGCATATGTGGAGGCCAGCAGTGGGAAGGGGCAAGTTGCGGGATGGGCAGAGGAGGTGCCCTGCCCGGCAGTAACCTTTGGAAAGCTGCTCCCCGCTGTTTGCGTTTCTCCAAGGAGGAGCTGAGGCCAAAGCTCAGGGAGCAGAAGAGAATGTTTCCTAGATATGCTGTGGGTATGGCTGGTGTGCCCCACCCATGGGCAAGGGACAAGGCTAGGCCTGCTCCTGAGCACTTACTTGAACCTGAACTTGAATCCTCCAGAGCTCCTATCCCTCTGAGCTCACTCAGAAAGCAGGGCCTTTGGGCAAAGTCCAAGGGAGTCATTAGACTTTGATCTAACATTTCTGTTCCCAACCTAACCGCTCAAGTATTTATCTGATGGCTGATGGCCTCACCAAGGGATTTTCCTCGCTGAAACTAGTAAGGTGGACTAGTGTTTTCATGCCAATTGGAGGGGTGATGAAGAAGAGCTGTTAAAAAAAACTTTCTGTTAGGCTTGAGAACAGGAGTAATACCCTAACACATGGTCTCCTGAAGCTCTGGGTTAAAATATATATATCACCTGGAAGTGTGGGAAACGAACAGGAGTGACAGAAAATCTTTAATGACCAGCATGGTGTGGGCACTGACTGATCAGAATGTTCACTAGCCAGAAACACCCAGGAAGGCTGCGCTAGCACACACAGGAAAATAGCAGCGCTGGCTCAGGCCTTGGCAGGCATGGGGTGCTCCTTTGGGCCTCTGGCCTGAACACATGCAGAAATCAGATTTGCTCGTTGGCTCCAGAGGCCATGAGGTTTCCCCTAGTAGCTGCGAGGCTGCAGGATGTACCAGCTCGGGCAAGACTGGCAGAACGAACAAATGCTCTTTGGGACAGCCCGAGAGCCAAACAGCCTAGGAAAGTCCTGAGTGGATACAAACAGGCCCTGGCCTGGCCTTGGAGAGCTGCCTGCTGCCCTTTGCAGCCACAAGCTGGAGAACTTCATCCCTGGTTCCCTTGGGTGGCAACTTCTCTCCCTCCCCCGCCCATATGCCGTGCACAAGCAGCACACACACAGACTGTAATACAGTGTGCATCTTGGAGCAAATGCACATACCCGCCCAGTCAGTGTTCGCACACAGGGAGCCCACCTATGCCCATGGCCTGAGGACGCACCCTCACACCCTCTCAAGTCATGGGGCATACACTCACAGCCACAAAATCATTCACAGACTCAGAATCCAGCAGCAAAAGCAACTAAGAGTCACCTTTGACTAACTCCAATCGACGCCCCTCCACACACACCTTGGTCTTTGCTCTCCCTCACGCCTCATGTGGAACAGGACAGACGAGGTGACCTCAGGAGCTTCCCTTCAGTGGCCCGGGCCTAGGCTTGGCACAGGCAGTAAGAAGTCCCTGCAGTTCCCAGGCTCAGCCAGCAGCGGGCGGCGTCTCACGCCACACTGAATTTCACCCGAAGGCTAACAGGCCTGGAGCAGAAAGGGAGGCGGAGCGCAAGGAAAGTAGAACATCTAAGAAGATTTCAGTGTCTGGCCAGCCTGTGAGCTGGCCGGGGCGCACCCAGCCACCCACTCCTGTGGGTGTGGGGCCTCAGCTCCTCCTGCCCAGATGATGAAATCAATAGAGGATTGGGCAAGTTATCAGGAGATGATGTCTTAGCTACCATAGCAGGCCCTGCTCTAGCTCTGCCCAGCCAGGAGCCCAGAACGGAATCAGCCAGCACACAGGAGTTGAATGGAATCTCTCATTCTGCAAGTCATAGCCCCTCTCAGGGCCCACTTCCTGTCTGTGAAATGGATTTACGAATAAAGCATGTCTGGGGCCGGTCCAGGCGGCGCAGTGGTTAAGTGCATGCGCTCTGCTTCGGAGGCCTAGGGTTCGCAGGTTCGAATCCAGGGCACGCGCTGACGCACCACTTGTCAAGCCATGTTGTGGCAGCGTCCTATATAAAGTAGAGGAAGATGGACACAGATGTTAGCCCAGGGCCAATCTTCCTCAACAAAAAGAGGAGGATTGGCATCAGATGTTAGCTCAGGGCTGATCTTCCTCACAAAAAAAAATGAATAAATAAGAAATAAGAATAAAGCACATCTGCTCACTCCCTCCTTGGCGCTTGGACTCAGGTGTGTGCTCCCGCTGCCAAGACTTCCCCGAGGTCTCAGCTCCCACTTCTCAAGGACGCTTCTCTGACCCCTCAACTCCCCAACTAGATCGTGTGTGCTCTCTGTGACAAATTTGGTAGAGTCCTGTGCTTTTCCTGAGAGCCCCTATCACAGCCCGGAGTCAGACACGCCCTCTTGATTTGTGAGTAACATGGGCTCTCCCTCACCAAGTTGTGAGGAATGTGGCACATAGTAGGCAGTGAAGAAGCATTTGTTGAATGGTGAGAAATGAATTTCTATAGCCCTCTGCAGATGACAAAGCACCTTCACAACCAAACTGGGCACCCTCTGAGGTAGGTATTTTCTCCCTGGTTCACACATGCATTGCACTCTTTAGTGTACCAAACATTTTAACTTCAGAAACTTCTCTTGAGCCTCACTACAAGCCTATAAAAAGGTAGGGATTATTATTCCATTTTAGAAACAATAAAACTGAAGCCCAGAAAGGTGAAGTGTGACCCAGGTTTAGTACTGGGAGGAATTAAGATTTTTAAGTCTCCAGATCCCGTGCTGGAAGGTACCATCTATTAGATTCCCCCCATCAGTCATCCCTGTGGGCATTGTCACCTCCATTGTGGTTATGGAGACTCAAGCATGCTCAGTCTGGCAAGAAAGTGTGTGGTTGGTAATCACACAGGCTTTGAGGGGAGACAAGCCTGGGTTCCCATCTGGGCATCCCCTGCCTGTGCCCCTCAGGTCTGGGGGAGCATCCAGTAAGTTGTCATGGGGGAGGTGGCCTTAGCTGGCACTTGAAGAACTGGGAGAATTTGGGGAGGGAGAGAGCCGGGGAAGGGAAGTCTGGGGAGACTAGAGGAGTGCCAGGAAATGGGGTTTGAGTGACTTAGGCTGAGGGCCTTCCCAGCTTCTGCTTCCTGAAAGATATGTATGAAGCTCACTCCCCGCAGCTCCTGCTGGGGCCAGGGGCAGCCAGGCAGTATGGAGGGCACTGAGGCAGCCATGAGCAGGGAAGGCTGTCAGCCCTCGGCACACACCCTTGCCTTGCGCCTCCCAGAGGCAAGGCAAGGAGCAAGTCTTCTCCACTGTCCCTCCTCCGCTGTTGCTCACATGGTGTCCTACACAGAGAAGGCATTTTGTAGCTGATTGTCTAGGGGACTGATTATTTCGAATCGGTCCTTGGGTAGGGGCAGGCAAAGTGAGCTTTTCTAACGCTTGGGCTCTGAAAATGTTAGCACTAAGTTGAGGGGAGGTGGAGCTACTTCTGAAACTTGCAGAAGGCATGGGACCTGAAACTTGATAGGCAATTTGGGAACAGAGATGGAGGCGGAGAGGGCTGTGGAGCTGAGCTGGGAGGCAGCCCAGGGTCACCTTGGGGTGGCGGAGGCGGGCAATCAGATTGGAAGTCTTGGGAAAAACAGCATCAGAGATCTCTGAGGTGATAGAGATGGAAGGGGCAGAGTGGGGAGCCCTCCCACCTGAGACCTCTCCTCTACCCTCCTCCATCCCTGTGTGGTCTCTCCCCTCCCTGCTTTGTTTATCTTCCCTTATCTTTCCACACCCCTCACACCTGAAGAGTTGGGAGTTCCCTAAGGAGGTGAGAGAACTCTAGGCTGTGAGAAAGTTTGGGAGCCTAGAGACAGGGGCATGAAACCTCCTAACTATGCCGGGGTCACCTGCCCCTATCCCCACACTTGCTGGGGAGGGAGGCAGAGATATCCCTACCTAGCTGGAAAGATGGTCTTCTTCTTCCTGGCCAGCCAGGCCTCCCACGGTCCCTCAGACACAAGCACTTCTGCTGCCCTGGGACTGAGGGCACCAGAGTGAAGCCCTCCCCACAGCCGAGAGGTGACAGGTGACGGCAGCCCTTGACTGAATGCTTGGCATTTCAACAGTGCCTTCGCCTTCCTTTAAAGCAATGTCACTGTAGTCCTCTTGTTTCATTTTCATGTACCACGGAAGATCCTCCGAGGAACTTAGCCTCTCTGTGCCTCAGTTTCCTCAGCTACAAAATAGGGTTGTGATGGGCACTAAATAAGTCAGGACAGGTGACGTGCCAACAATGCTCCGCACAGAGGAAGTGCTCCCTACTTGTTTGCTAGTATCATCTAGCTATGTCCCTTTAAGTGGGTCACTTTCCCTGTCTGAGTCCCACGTTCTTCTTCTAAAAATGAAGGGATTTGGGGGCCCGAATGACCTCTCAGTTGCCTGCCAGCTCTGCACTTCTAGGATTCTATGTCTGAGGTAGGGAGAGCAGAGATTGTTGTCCTATGAAAATAGATAAGGGGGGATTGGGACCTCCAAAAGACGAACTGACCTGCCTAGGAGCACACAGCCAGTTACAGGCCCCGTTGGGGTTAGGATCCAGAGTGCCAAACCTCTGGTTTCAGGCCACTAGGCTGCCTCGGCTACAGCCTGCTAATTCTTTTACACCCAGGGAAGATCAGAAAGCATTTGGTTTGCACGATGGGGGAAGTACACAGTGGAGGTTTGGGCAGCCTCCGGGGCCGAAGGAAGCTTGTGCAGACCCACATAACCCAGCGGTGGCCTTCCTTACTGGCCAAGGTTCCCGTTTCCTGCCATATGCCGGTTTCTTCTCCCAGAGCACTGATTCCCTCTGAAGGGTGGCCTGAAGCATCCTCACTGTTTGCTGGGACCCCCACAAAGCCTCATTCACCAGCAGATGCTTCACATCCACCCACCCCTTCAAAGTGGTCTGGGCAGGTGAGGAGGCTAAGGCCCAGAAAGTGCCAAGGAGAGACTTTGCCAAGCTTCCCAGCAAGCCCTGGGCAGAAGCAGATTCAGGACTGGCACTCAGGTTTCTGGGCCCCTGGCCTTGTGTAGAAAGGACCCCAAGAGCCTGATGGGTTTCCTGGAGCAAGTGCTTGGCATCGCAATCCCAGCCCAGGTGCTGCCCAAGCTAATACTGCCACAGGGGAGACTGCTGAGGACCCGATCTGTCCCTGGTGAGGCCCTACGGGTTGTCTAGGATACTTCAAGTTTCCAGTGGCCAAGGCACACTCAGGTTGGGGAAGCGGACCCCTAGCGGGAGCATGGCAACTGACAAGCTGAGGACAAGTTTGAGGCTTGACTTGCCAAATAGTGGCTCTGTGAATTTGTACAAGCGACTTGACCTCGCTGAGCCTGTTTCCGCATCTATAAATTGGGGATAATGATGGCTGCCCTGTCCAGCTCTCAGGGTTAGAGTGAGGCTTAGCGGAGATATTAGCTCCCACTAAATGAGCTCATACCATGGGCCGGGCACTGTACTCAACACTTCACCCGCATCATCTCATTCAGTCCTGAGCAGCGCGCTGAAAAGTAGGCAGAGAATACTGCCGGATGCGGTAACGGGGCTCCTTGAGATCAAGATGCTGGCCTTCAGGTCTCATAGATAAGTAAACTGCAGCACCAGGATTTGAACCCTGATCTGACTCCAGACTTCCCCTTCCACTGAGAGCCGTTTGTTAGTATGATTATTATCAGATAGCATCACACAGAGGCCAACTCATAACCAGTTTATTAAATCCCCTTAATTCTAGACCTTACTGCAGAATGTAAGTCTACCCCTCGGGCCCCAGGCAAGGGTTCAAGGGCTGAGTTGAAGGCCTTGCTGATACTTCATGTGAGAGAGAGTTCAGCAAAATGTGGCCCACCACCTATTTTTATGAATAAAGTTTTGTTGGAACACAGCCACACTCGTTCACTTACATTTAGTCTATGGCTGCTTTTGCGCGGCAATGGCTGACTTGAGTAGTTGGGACAGATACCTTATGGCCTGCAAAGTTAAAAATACTATCTGGCCCTTTACAGAAAAAGTTTGTTGACCCCTGGCTTGAAACATTCAAGGAAATGTCCTGGATGCGACTCCGGCCTTTGGCTGAAGTCCAAGGCAGAAGCCAGGAGAGTTCCTCTCTGAGCACTGGCCAGTATGTAGGGAAAACTGGTTTTTCAAAGGAGCTGTGGAGAGACCTTCCATTTTGGGGTTTCCAGAGAAATGCTGGCTGAGTCAGTGGCTCCTTCTAGGGCCAGGAGCAGAAGGTAGTAAGTCTTCTCTGTCAGTCCCCTGGCAGTTAGTTGGCACAGGCTCACCCTAGTCAGAAACTTTGGATTGATAAATTTCAGTTGAATAACATCTAGGCCTGAAAATTACAATTATATAAACACCTCAGAATGTCTCAGGCCCCATAGTTCTCTCGGTGGTGTCAGAGCCCAGCCCGGATTGGGGTCCCAAGTCAGCCAGGTTTTGTGGTAGAGTCTGAAATGTTAGGCTTCAAAGCAGCTATGGCTCATTTTACACCACACCTGGGGGCCTGAAAAGCCGTGTGTGGTCTGAGTCTGTTTGCCTCCCTAATCTCTGTCATTTCAGAGGCTGCCTAATTTCCAGACCGATTTGAATGGATTGGAAGCACTGTTGTTTTCCAGGCTCTCTGAAAAATCCTTCAACCTCTTAGTCCAAGACTTACGGTCCAGAAACAGTCAAGTGAACTCCTTTTTCTTTTTTGCCTCTGCATTTTCAAAAACAACCCCCTACTCCGATTCTATTGTATTTATCTGGTCAAGATATCGCCAAAGTGTGGAAACCCATATGTCCCGCCTTCTTTTGGTTTGCTGTCTAATTATCTTCACAGAAGGCCACCAGCTCTCCTTTTCCTCCTCCCCTGCCCCAAGGAGGTCAGACTTGCAGCCGCCCACCAGCATCAGGTTGACTACATGTGCCTGGAGGACCCTGGTTACTGCTCCCCTTTCCTTGTCCCCACCTCCACTGCCCACTGTCCTCCCACCAACTTACCCAAATGCAATTGGGCCTTCTGGGGCCAGTGTTAGTTGGTCAGCCTCCGGTAGCCTTTCTCTGATCCCACCAGTCCACACCATGCCACCTATTTCTATTGGGCTTATTAAGAATACAAAACACATTTTGTACTTAAGTATTCTCTAATTAGGGGACCTTCCATAGTACCATAGAGTTGGCATTCTAGTGTTCGAAGTCTGGATTCTAGACTCACTTATTGACTGTGAGCCTTTGGGCAAGTCACTTCACCGCTCTGAGCCTGTTTTCTCATTTGTAAAATGGAGATGGTGGTTTGTGTCACCCAGTTGTTAGGACGATAAAATGAGTCGGCATTTTTTTTAAAGAGCTCTGTTAACTGTTAAAGGGCTACAGACTCATGGGTCAGTATTAAGTTGTCCTGCTCTGCCACCACTTCTTTCTCCTTGGTTTCATGTGAAATCCGAGCTTTGGGGGTGATTAGGGAGCTAACAGACCAATCAGCATCAAGCCAGCCCACCCAAAACCTCTTTCCTAAACCAGTTCCTCTGACGACCAGTTTGCCTAAAAGTCAAAGTAGTAATTTTGAAAGAAGGCATTTTGTATCAATTTTCCTAAGAGACGCTCCCAATACAACGCTGCATTTTTAAATCACTATGTCACAATCTGCAGTATTTTGTCAATGATGAGATTGTTTTGTTCGCTTGTGGGTGGCTCTTTCTATTTTATCTCCTATTGAACATTTTTATGACTTCTTAGCAAGTTTGTCTGAAGACTGTTTTTTAAAATTATATATTTCTAGCACTAAATACTTGTCAAATCTGTGGAACTTCCCATGAGATTTATCGAATGCACCTTTTAGATCATTCCTGTTTCCTCCTCGCTGGGTTTTCCTCTGCATTGTGTACGCCTGTGTGCACCTAATGAGTTGATTAACCAAATTAGCATGTACCCAATGTTCCTTTCTGTTCTGCAAGATATTGGCAATTTGATGACTAGCGTGAAGAAGTGAGACAGATGGGGCAGAAATGCATCGAACTCCTTCCATTTTATTTTTCAGGCTATCTCATTCATCAAGCAACTCTACTTCATGAAACATAAAATGGTACATACAAAGTCATTACCAAATGTATTTATTGCAGGAAACATAACATTTTTCAAGAAAGGCAAACTGGCTAAAAAGTCCCGAAAGTGTTCAAAAGTAGATAAAAATAGAAGACGACACCCACCAAGGATACAAAACAATTTTTAGTAGAAATCATATCTTTAGTCAAAATGTTCTTAAACTGCTTTTTAAAAATTCTTTAAATGACACTGCAAAAAAAAAAAAAAAAGGCACTCAGATGCCCAAACCCTTAAAAGTGGACTGAATGTTATGTGAACCAGTCATTAAGCACGGAGATTCCTTTTGTGAGTTTGTGGCAAATTGGTTTGAGGCCATTTGACCCGGAACTGATTTGGAATGCAGGCAATTACCTCCCCGCACGTGCAACATGTGGGCATGGGGACAACCATGGACTTCGGGGGACAGGGACACCCCTCCTAAAACTGACCTCCATGAGTAAGGGCGAGTTGTCAGCTTTTAGCTCTTTATTATAAAGACATATTTACACAAAACAATCTTTACAAACACAGTGAACACAATTATGGGATGGGGACAATTTCTTAATGGAAAGGGCCTTCATATCTTTATATAAATTAGTATAAGAATCATACACAACCACTTTAAATAAGACAGCCCCCAGCCTCCCACTGTCCTCCTCTGCCCTGTGTCTCCTGACTTTCCCAGCCATCCCCCATTTCCCCCCTTCCCTGTGGGGCTGGGCAGCTGATGAGGCGGGAGATGCAGAGAGCAGGGGGGGTGGGGAAAGGCCCAGTCCCTGGTGGGGGCATCAGTGGCAGAAGAGGCTTTCTGGACACTGACCATCCCCCACTCCGAGCCTGAGGGGTGTGGGGGAGGCAGGTGCCCAGCCTGGCTCCCCAGAGCAGGCCTTGAAGCAGCAGCAGCAGCAGCAGCAGCAGTAGCATTAGCAGCAGCGGAGGTAACGGGGAGAGGCAGATAGGCAAACCTCGGGGTGACTGTAGGACTCGGGGGGCCCTGACTCCCCCTGCCCCCATATATCAGGCTCTTGTCTTCTCTTTTCCCCCTCCCGGGAGGCCTCTGAGAAAAAAGGCTGCTCAGACCTACACTTCCGCCCTTCCTTCCTCCCTTCCTTCTTCTTCTCCCTGCAAAGGGAAAGAAGGTCCAGTCAACGTGAAGGGAAGGCTATTGAGTCCAGCTGGTTATCGTCGCCTCCTGGCTCCTGAAAACCAGTGTTGGGGTCGCAACGGTAGTCTCAGTGCCCGAGCTGGCCCTGTGAAGATGCCCGGGGTCTGGGAGAGCTGCAGGACTGGGGCAGCTGGCCAGGCGTGGAGCTTTTCAGCCCAGGTTGGGGAATGGACTAGCAGGGGCAGGCCAGGGAGGCGGGAGCAGCTCCGTCCCCACAACACCATGGGGCAGTTCACAGCAGGCTTGCCTCTCCTTGCCAGCCACACTCAGCCCCATCCCCGGAAAAGGCACTTAATGGGTTTTGAAAAGACATCATCAAGAGGGAAGAGGACATCATCAAGGGAGAGTCGGGAGACCTGGGTCCTCATTCTGGCTCCGCAGTGACCCTCAGCAGGTCACTATCTGTCTCCAGCCTTGTTTTTATAGGAATTTGCATAAGGAGGCGGAGCTAAGAGATCTCCAAGGTTCCTTTTGGCTTTGATATTCTGTTAATTCTTGGCAAAAGCAGTCCTGCTTGGCTTTGGCTCCTGGGAGGGTATAGCGCCATCTCAGGCCCAGCATCCTCTCCTCCAGAGGTGGAATTTGAACTAGCTGGGGTGGGAGCGTGTGTGTGTGGGGGGGTGTCAGAGGACACAATAAGGTGAAAGAAGTGACAGAGTACTTCATCGCCCCTCTCTTTCACCTCTTCCCTAACCCAGACAAACATGGGCATGAGGAAGAGGCCACAGCAGCTGTTCCTCCTCTTCTCCAATGCTTCACCTTTTGCCAGAGCACCAATCCCCCATTCCAATGTCCCCGAAAGCACTCTATCTGCATCCCCATGCCCCAGCCCCTCTGACCAGAGGCTCTCATTGCTCATCTCTCTATTCCCTGCTCGAGGCTGGGTGAAGGGTCCAAGTGACACAAAAACATGGGATCTTCTGGAGCCCATTGAAGAAAGGAGGTTCCACCTGGCTCCCAGGGCACCTGAGGAAGGAAGGGCTGAGTGAGGGGTTACGTGTTAGATGCGAGAGGTGGGGACTGGGGCCGGGGAGGGGGGATGTGCCGGGGAGAAGAAGGACAGCCTTCCAGTGCAGGGTCTCCAAAGTCAGTCTGGGGCAGGGCTGGGAAGAAGGGATGAACGGATCCTTGTGAGAGAAAGGGAATCATCCAAACTAGGGGCAGGACCACCCCATTCAGGGCAGCTGGTGGGTGAGAAGAGCCGGGACCATCAGCAGCTAGGACAGGTACAAGATGAGCGGCAAATGGATGTGAGGGCTCCAGAGAAGCAGACCAATCTACGGAGTAGAGAGTCGCAGGGGGTGAGCACTTGGGGGCCCCTCCAGTCCTAAAGAGACAAAAATGACCAGAGAGAAGTCAGTGACATGTCTTAGGTCAAAGGAACCACCAGGGACAGGAAAGGAGATACTTCATTCCCCTCTCCCCACGACCCTGAACCTAAAGCCCAAGGCCCCTGAGTGGGTGCCACCCCGTCCTGGCTACAGGGGGGGGGACAGCAGGCCGGCCGTCAGGGGCAGGCTTAGGCCTTGCTCTCTCTGCTGCCACCTTTGATTTTTCTCTCCTTCCCACAGCTCTGGGCAACTCTTTTCCTGCTCTCAGCCTGCTACCCCCCAAAGCTCTCTGCCTCCCTCTCCATCTCTGGTGAAGATCCATACTGCACACCTGTAGGCATACCCTGGGGAACCCCTCCCCAGCTCATCAAGGCCCTCCAGGACTTCTAGAACTCTCCAACTGGGCCAGCTTGCACCACCCCAGGCAGCAGGGTGGAGGGGAGCCAGCACCCAACTCCTGGGGAGTCAGGAGACTGGCCCCAATTGTCAAGCCCCTCTCTGGGCCTCTGTCTCCTCGTCTGTAAAATGAAGGAGCTAGACGGGTGCTCTGTAAGCCCGTATGTTGTGTGGTGGCAGGGCTGCTTCATGCAGGTGTCTGGCCAGCAATAAGCAGCAGGGTCACCCAGCCCCCAGGCGGTTCCCCCCCAATCCCATCAGTGCCAGCCACTGACCAGAGGCTCAGGTACCTGCTTCAGAAAGGCATGGGGCCCTTATGCGAGAGGCGCGGGCGCTGGCGGCGGAATTTCCTCCGACCTCCTTGCCAGGGCCCTGGTCCGTTCCTCGACCCTCTGGGCTGCACCAGGTAGTGGACATTGCCTTCCTCCAGCCCCTTCCCGTCAGGAGGCTGCAGCAGGGGCCCTGCAGGAAGGAGAAAGCCTGTCATCAGGAAGGCTGATGCAAACGGGCAGGGGGCCACAGACGACAGGCCCATGGTAGGGGGCAATCGCTCCATGCGGTGGCGCTCCTCATAGCTTCTCTTAGTTTTTATCTTCCATCCTAATGAACAATTTGCAATTTTTACACTGTCCTGGGGCAAACGGAACCCACTACTCACATCTTCACAGTTCTATCGGGTTTCTGACAGGCACACACATGTTCTCTGTTTATAACATCATTGGGGGGCACAGTTTGGGGCATTATTCCTGTCCTTGGCTGGGGCACAGCTGGCAATGACTCCCCCACTGCACCCTTGCAACCAATACCCTTAAAACATTTCAAACATACAACATTATAATGTAATGAACCCATCCCCCTACAGACCCATGACCCAGACTCAACAGTTATCCACATGGAGTCACACATGCTTAGTGATCTCTTTCTTTCTTTGCTGAGGGATTTTCAGCCAATCCAGAACATCATGTCATTGCACTCCTACTTCCTTCCATTGGCAGGTAACCCACTTTTTGGCACTAGAGATCTCACATCTCACCCCTGGGCACCTCAGTGTTTAGGCATCTCCGGGGCTCACTTGCTCCTGTGGCCTCCCTGGGGGTGTGGCTGGGGGTTTGACGGGGAATTGGGGGGTCTCTGACTCGGTGTGCCTTATGCTGGGTTCTATTCAGCCTCTGCCCAGATTTAGAGCCAATAAATATTGCATGAATGAATGAGTGAAGACATGAGTGAAGGGTCACCTGAAGCAGCAAGTCTGTGCATGAGGAGGGGGCAGGCTGCTGCAGTGGGCACCTCCTCACTGGATTCTCTACCTCCCTTCATGCCCAGATCACACCCCATCCTGTGTCTGATGCAAATTCCTTCCATTCCAAACCCAGCTGGCTTCTCTTCTGCTCCGGGGGCTGGGGGGCTTTCTATATCTGTCCACATCTGGCTTAGAGTAGAAACCTCCTGATGCCAGACAAAGCCCTGACAATGGAATCCAAGTGGTGCTGGGTGTTCTCGGGTGTGATGACGGAGAAGGCACATGGGCCAGCTGTCATGGAGGCTGTAGCCCAGCCAGGGAAGGCGAGCTGCACTCCAGAGACAAGCCCAGCTGCCGGAGGCAGGCAGAGCGGGGAGGTGAGATGGCACTGGGCACGAGGTGGACTGGCAGGGTGCTTATGCGATGCCCAGTCTGGGGCTGGCCTGCAGAAATACGGCTTCCGAGGCCAGTGGTCACGAATCCAAGTCTCTTTCCCCTACATCAGATTTGCCTTCAGCTATATCCCTGTCCTTCAAACCACATTTCCATCCATCCAGGAATCCCCATCACCAGCTCACAGTTTCCACAGAACCACCCATTGGCTGCTAGCCCCCCTAAACATGCCCCTGGCGGCTCCCCCTTCCCTCCTCCCTGCCTCCAGCATCCCCATACTCTGGTTCATTCCTTGGCTCTTGTGATTCCTCCTCCATTTGCACACAATTTCCAGGCGTTTATCTTCCTCTTGGGCCAAAAGTAGGCGAGGTTTGCCCTTAGGACCCTCCCTGCCCAGGCTCCCGGGGCCTGCTGCTCTCTGCACGCACTCTAGCCCAGACACACACGCACACTCTGTAACACTCCAACCTCCCTCTCTGAGAAAAGTCACAGGCTCCCTAGGATCCCACTGTTTACTAGCCACCCTTCCGTGCTTCTGGTCAGGGTGGGTTCATGTGTCAGCTCCTCCCCTAAACCCATCGCCTAATGAGACTAAAACAAAATTATATTTGCACTTTGGGGCAGTAGGTACGGATGGAAGCAGGAGGCCACTTCCACCTGTCATAGAGCTACCCTCTTGATGCCATCTGCAAAGGGGCTGGGCTGGGGTGAGAGAGGAGGGAAGGCCCTTCACTAAGTCCCCCACCCCAGCTGCTTCCGCTTCTTCCCTGTGTTCTGGGGTCCCCTCAAGGCTGTCCCTGCCCACTGAGGGGGGCAGGAATGATGCTGATGAGGAGTCAGTCCCAGAGAAACAGTTGGGGTGGGAAGGACTGTGCTTAGGGTGTGGCCAGGCACAGGGAAGGTCCCTAGGGGCCTTGAAAATGTGAGGCCTTGGTTCTGACGGCCATGCCCTCGACTACTGGGGGAGGGACAATGGCACAGACTACAGCCCCAGGGGTACAGCAGGCATGGAGACAAGAGGCATGATGCCTGGACAGGGAGGGCATCATCTCCAAATGCTCAGCACCCAGGACTGTGAGTGTTGGTGGCAGTTAGGGAGGGAGGGCTGGGGGTGGAGGGCCCTAAGTAGGGGAGGCCAACAGCCAGGACGGGGAACAGGAACGGTGGCTCAAACTCTGGCCAGGGAGCCGTCTAGACTCTAAGTTTGCAGAGAAGAACTACCCTGAGCTGACTGAGCGCTCAGCCAGCTGGAGAGCAGCCTCCAGAAGCTCTGGCATCTTACATCCCATTGAGTTGGGGGCTCACTGTCCTCCTCGTAGCCGGAAGTCTGCAGCTCCTCCCGCACGCTGATCCCATCACCCACCTGTTTCCTATTTTTGATTCTGAGTCTGGCTCACCCTACGATAAGCTGACACCTGAAACCCTGGCTTTATCCTGTCCAAAGGGACAAATCAGAGGCTGTTGATTCTCATCACTGCAGAGGTCCTGGCTGTACAAAAGAATGCCCCTGTAGAAATGGGGGCCATCGCAGTGAACTTAAATATTTTCTTCCAACTCATTTGTTACTTAAAGGGAGGCTGGGGCAATCCCCCAAAGAATCTCAAGCCTAGAGGGGCCAGAGCCATTGCTCTCCGAAGCACCATCAGCAATGAAGTTACAGCATCCCCACACGGCAGTCAGGAGGAGAATAGGGTCTGATTTTCATGCAACCTGAACTCCAACCCTGCCAATGCACAAAGAGGTATGTGACTTTTTAGGAATGCGCCAGCCTCACCAGGAATGACGCACCTGTTTCTCCTCTCGCCGTCCAGCCTATCTTGTGATTGCTTTAAAAGTCCACACGAGTGCTCTGGTGGGGTGGCTATGTCCCCTCCCTTGCTCCGGGGTCTGGCATATGTCTCCAGGATGAGGCATCCTTCCTTTGTCTACCCAGCCCCCCACCCCGGTGCCCTGAGCTCTCTTCCTGTGCCAGCTTTGCAGCCTGGCCCTTCAGTTCACTTGCATGAGTCCTTCCCCACTGAGAGACCTGACTCAGGTTACGTGGGTGCTTAGCGCTTAGGGATTGGGGATGGAGAGCGGATGCCCTCGCCCTAAGCAGGAGAGTTACAGTAGGCTGTCCTCACACTGTCACTGTGACTGCAGGCTTCGAGCTGGGGCTGGGGAGGAGGACAAGGTGAAAAAGAGAAGTGCTCAGACAAAGACCAAGGGACACTTGGCCCTGGCCCAGCAGCTCTCAGACTCAGAAGAGCAAAGTGTATGTCAGGGCAGGAGGCAGTGGAGGAGTATGCGTGTGTTGGAGGGGGGCACATTCCAAGTCAGGACAGAGTGTGTTGAGGAGGCAGCATGGTTTTCCGACCTGAGACTTTGGGGACTCTGGCTGGGGAGGACATGCAAGTCTGGGCCGAGGGCAAGGTGGTCCTGGGGTCCTTGTTTCTGACCCAGGATGGGAGGCAGGAGGAGCAGGACACGTATACCTGGACCCTCGGCTGGTGGCCACCTGCATGGAGGTGCCCCTCCTCGGCTCCAGGAGAGGTCATGGGGTGGAGAAGGCAGAGGGAGCCTTGGAGGTTTCCAACGCTAGCCTTAAGCAAAATGTGAAGGCGATGAATTTACTCAAATCAAGGTGTGAAGATAGATGGCCTACTGAAGAAGCGTGAATTAAAGCAAGAAGTGGTGGAGTCTGGGCCATACGCAGCGTTCCCTCCCCTTGAAACCAGCTCTCCTCTCTACCAATACTGCCCCAACAGCTGGACTCGGAAAGGGTTTGAGTGGTGTTCTGTTAGCCAAGGTTCTCCCCATAACCTCTGGGGAAGCACCAAGTGTGCTGATCAGGAAGCCCCAGCTTCCTCTGGGATGCCCTCTCTGCACCCACTCTTTCTTCCCTGAAGGCGCCACCCTGGACTATCTGCCAGTGGTGATGTCTCGTGGGCATCTTGTCTTGCCAACTGCACTTTATGGTAGGCTCCTGGAGGGCAGGCCCATGTGGTGTCCTCATTCATATCTTTTGCTCTCTTCCCGCCATTGCCTGACTGACAGGAGTTTCTGAGGAAAAAGTCTGTTCCCTTCTTAGCAGGGAGGTGGCTGACCGGGCACTTAGGCCGTGAAGAGGGAGGCCTCTGGACAGCTAGCTGAAGGCAGGTGGTGCCAGACTCAACCAATTCACCTCCCTGAGAAGCCAGGCAGTGCTCCCAGGGCCAAGGCAGTGCCAAAAGGCAAGGGCAGAGAAAGGAGGCAGCCTGCAAAGAGAGAGAGGTGGAGCCTGCCAGCCCCTCCAAGGCTCCTGGGCTGCAGGCCGTCCTCCTGCTCTGGAGGGTCTGGAACCAAGCAGGGCCCTGTGCCATTCCTCTAGGAAACTTGCTGCTCTGCCGTCTCCTTCCCTCTGCTCCCACCTCCCTATGACTCCAGCTCTGGCACTGGCATTAGTTCACCTGGTCTTGGCCTTCCCCTTCTGTGGTGCCAGGCAGGCAGCAGTGACAGCCAGACCACAGGACTGTGGCAGCTGGAGGTGGGAGCTGGCAGCCCCAGGAGACACTGACACACCGAGGAGAGGCAGCCCGGGCTGGGGCTGCCGGGGCATGGGTGGAGACCAGGCTTGGGGAGGGCAAGGGAGCACCAGTGCCAAGTATGCCAGGTGGGGGGTGTGGTGCAGGTGGGGGCAAAAGGACTCCCCCTCCATGAGCTGCATGGAGGTGTCAGGCCATGCCCTGTGTTTCCTGGTTTGGTGCCTGGAGATAGGGGGACTAAGGTGTAGCATGCCTATGCCTGGGGCAGAGGAGAGGCCGGAGCCAGGATATCCGAAGAACCACGTCCCCGGGGTGGCATGGAAGCTGCGGGGAGGGCCTGCTGTGCAGGAGCAGGCGAGCAAACCAGACAGGCCCTCGGGGCAAGGCAGAAGACCAGCCTGGCCCGGCCCTACCCTGCTTGGCCTGGGGGAGGCTGCCTCTGCTCACATGCAGGCTGAAAGGAGCAACAGCTGGGCTCCACGCCGCCGCCTCCGCCGCGCGCTCTTGCCTATGCAACAAGTGTCACGTCTGCATCTTGGCACATCATCCCCAGTGGCCCGCGCCCCTGGACCAGCCGGCAGCCCCTAACCTCCAGGGGCCAGAAAACCTTCAATGCGGGAGGGAGCTCAGCCCACCGAGCTCAGGTCAGCTCCCTCCACTGATCCATGGGGAGCGGGACATGTTCCCCCACACGTACCCTCCACCACATGGGGTGCGGGGCGCGGGACACGCGCCACACGCCTGCGGCCCTGAGCTCGGACTGCGAGGGGCGGACAGGAGGGACAAGCAGCCAGGCGGGTAATGCTCGGGGCAGAGCCCAGCCCCCGGAGGAAGCGGTCCCCGCGGCCGGCCGGTCTGTGGCCCGGGGCGCGCTGTCAGTCGGCGACCCCGCGCGGTCGGCGCGTGGCTGCTCCTGCACGGCTCGCGCCCGGCTCCGGGGAGGCGGAGAGAGCGCGAGCGGGGGCGGAGGGGCGGGAGCGCGTCGGCTGCAGCCCAGCAAAGCGGCGAGGGCGGGAGGGCGCGCACTCACCTCCACACACCGCGGTCAGGGAGAGCCAGAGCAGCAGGAGTGCCTGCACGCAGAGCCGCAGATTCATGCTGCTCCTCGGGCCGCCGCGGCCCTGGCCAGGGGGTGGGAGGGCAGAGAGGCCGGGCGCCCAGAGGCAAAGAAAGGGGCGAGCCGCGGCTGGTGCGTGCGGGCGCGGAGCTCGCGTGGCTCCCGGGCCGCGAGAGGGTGCGCGCCCGAGCCGCGCTGCAGGCTGGCCGGCTGCCGCGCGGGCTCGCCGCCTCCTCTCTCGTGCAGACTCGGTCTCCTGCCGCGGGGCAGCGCCGCCAAGCTGGCCTCTGCGGCTCCGGGGGCGGCGCCGAGCTCTTTCCAAGCGGCTGGCTGCTCTGCCTCGGCTCCAACTGCCCGTGGCCCAGGCTGCCAGCGAGAATGCTCCCCACTCACTCCGGGGGCTGCATTTTGTAGCTTGTGGCTTGGCCGCGAGCCCACTTGGTCATGTGGTCATCGAAAGGGCTGGGGGTGGGCCAGGAAGAGGGAGAGGGTGCGAGCCTCCCGCACCGCCCCCCTCCCGGCACGCACACTGCAGCCCCAGCCAGGGCGCGAGAGGGAGCCTCAAGGTGGCCCCACAACAAAGGCTGCACGGCCGCTTCGACAACCCACAACCGCTCCCCCCGGACAATGCCTGCCTGGCTGGGGGCCAGAGAGTTTTGGAGACCTGAAGGATTTCAAACACAGGAAGCATTTGGGGCTGTGGAGGGGCACACTTAACCCTTTCTCACCTCGCTTCCCTAGCAGCTGTCAAGGAACATGGGCGCTCCAGGAAGGACCCGGCACACGCTGCCCCGACTCACCCCGTTCACCTCTGACTCGCTCCGCAGCAGCAAGGGCTTGGCCAAGACCCCCACACACTGGCCCTCTTCTCTCCTCTGCATCTTCAGCTGGGTTTGTATTGGAGGTGACTGCCTAGGCTTGTGCCCAAGACCGCTTAATTGCCCAGCGCCCCCAGGAGGAACCCTCTACCTGGAATGCCCCACCCCACCCCATCCTGCCCCTGAATTCTTCATTGTTGCAGCAGCACCTCAATCCCATCCTATCCAGAAGACTTCCCAGGATAACAGTAATCCAGGAGGGGCTTCCCATGAGTTTCTCCTGGCTGTGGGACATGCAACAGCTTCCACGGAGTCCCCTTTCTTGTTCCTCATTAAGGTGAGAGTGGGGTCATTTACCCCCCCTCCAAACAGTCTAGGCTGGATTCATTTTGCATGTACTTGGGATTCCCCTTTGTAAGTGGGTCCCTCCCAGTACTGTAAGGGTTTGCCTCCCCAGACTAGACTGTCAGCTCCTACAGCCTGGAGCTCCCAAGGGAAGAGACTGCCTCTTTCACCGGACTGGGAACCCCCTAAGATAGAACCTTGTCTTTTCATTCTTCTGCATCTCTCCAAAGTCCCCAGTATTGGACTCTGCACATAGGTGGCACTCAACACATGTTAAAAGACTAAATCGAAAGGTGTTGCCACATATCAGCCAACCAGGCAGTTTGCTTGAAGTGCAAGTCCAGATTTATACAAAAAATACGTTGGATAGTGTGTATGTGTGCCATAAAAGATGTGAGAGACCATGATATATTTAAAATATTTTTGAAATGCTAAAACAATCCAGTATATACACAATTGATTTATTATTGGTCTCCCTCAACTGTAATCGTCAGCTCCACAGGAAAGGGAATCTCTGCTCTGTTCACAGCTGTATCCCCAGACAGTGGCTGGGACATGGTTGGCACTCAGTACATAATTTTGAACATATAAATGAACTTTTCAAAAACATCCCTATTGCCTAAATCAAGGTGGTGGGAAGGGAATAAAGTAGGGTTCTAGTTACTAGTCTATGGCCCCGTTAGCCTTGTAAGAAAAAGGCAGAGACGTGAAGCAGAGCACCTCTCTTCATCCGTGAGGCCCAGGCTGTGAGCAGCGGGCATTGGTAGCTTGAGACTATTTCCCCTGTGCTAACCCCCTGGAAAGAGTCTTCCAACTAGGAGGAAAAACACTTGGCCTCTAGTCTCCACCCTTATCTGCTGTAGGGCCTTGCCGTTGTCACCTAAATTTACTGGGTCTCATGGGGAAGATCCTCTTCGCCCTCCCCACTTCAGGGTTGTTATGGGATTAAATGAGATAATGTACCTGAAGGCACTGTGCAAATGGGGAGTAAACCCTTATAGGGTTGCTTTTAGGAGCTGTGATGCTCCAACCCCTGATTGAGCAAGACCATGCACCCCCAAACGAGTGCCCCCCAATGCTAGGTTTAATGGAAGCATTCATATTTAATCACACCTTTCCTAGGGTGTGTATGGGCTATTTGCTAAGTGGTTAGAGCTGCGCTTTCCAATACCGTATTGGTGAAAAATTCGCGTCCTCAGTCGCACTGGCCACATTTCAATTGCTCAGTAGCCACATGTGTCTAATGGCTACTGTATTGGACAGCACCAAATAGAATCTTTCAACCATTGCAGAAAGTTCAATGGGACAGCGCTGGGCTAGACCACCTCATTCATTCTTCCTTTTTTCTATAATCCTTTTTCCCACCTTACCTAGTCTTCAAAATGCACAAGGGGATAAAATACAAAAGCAAACCAATAGTGTCCAAGGCAAGCAACACTTAGTAAATAGAAGGCACGCATGTAAAGCAAGATTTAAAGAGCTGAACACTTGGGGAAATCAGGCTTTAAACTAATCCTTCTCCATTTAAGCAAATTGCATCCAGTTTTCCAGTCCCAGATCCGAGATCTCATCTTCCTCCTTTCTCAGGCCATTCTTGCCCAGGTGACTTTGCCCTCTTCGTAACAGCTATGGCTGTACTTTTCAGTGGTAGTCGCTCTTGCCATATGCATCAGGAGCACTTTTGTATCTGCACACCATGCCCTGCATGCCTGCAGAGAGAGTCCACCACTGGTGTACCCATTCTGGAACTGAGGCCCATGAATCAAGGAATGCAACTCTGATTGCTCCCTCTGAAACCCCTGTGGGCTCCCATATATCTCAATATCATATTTAAATGACCAGTTTTCATATCTGTCTCCGCCCACCAGACTTTAAGGTCGCCAGAATGATAGCACCTAGCAAAGTGCCGAGCACATAGTTGGCCCTCAGTATCTGCTTGTTGAAGAAATAAATAACTGATGGCATAACTCTCTGCTGTCTTTTTTTCAGGAAGATGATACTCTTGAGTTAATATCAGCAGATTAAATGTTTTAAGGTGTTTCTTCAGGGATGGGGAGGAGGTACCTGAAACCATGCACATGGGGCTCCAGCCTGTGGTGAGGGGCAAGACTTAGTTTCTGTTCAAAGTCAGGGCAATCCTGGGGCAGAGGTAGGAGTCAGGGTATTGTTGGGGACAGAGATGAGGTAGCTGACCTATGTGAAGCCAGCCTGTGACGTGTCACCCTCATCAGCGCTGTGCATAGGCTCTTCAGTTCTGTTTAGTGTCCTATGTCATCACCACCAGTTGATGGTGCTCAGTTGACTCGTCCAGCTCTCTGTCCTCTAGGTTTGAGTGGGCAGTGTGGTGTAGTAGAAAAAACTCAGCTTTTGGAATTTCAAATAACTGAATTCAAATATTGCCCTTCAATCTCATTCATTAGCTGTGTGACCTTGGGAAAGTTATTTAACCTCTCTAAGCCTCAGTTTCTTCACCTGTTAAATGAGGATAATAATAGTCCCCACCTTGTTATGGTTGGGAGATTAAATGAGATAATGCAGGTAAAGTACTTAGTACGGTCCCCAGCCCACAGCAGTCCCTCATTCAATGTCAGTTTTCTCCTCTTCCTGACATGTCCCCCCACCCTGCCCCAACCTTTGGGCTCTGGCCTCTTGAAACTGATCAAGAAGGAAAGGCTCTGTCTTTGCCCTGCTCCATCAACACCTGTCTTCTTCTTAGCCATCAAAACTGTTCACTGTCTTATTCCCCAAAAGCACCAATCTCTGCTGGAGCTGATCTGATGGATGCACTTGATCCAGGGTGTTAATGCGTGATAGTAATTTGAGGTTGTGCCTCCCAGGTATGATCTTCATTTTAAAGGGAGACTTTGGGAGACAATGTCCTACCCCAAGGTAATATCAAGCTCCACCCTTTAGAGCAAGGAGACACTTGAGTGACTTTCCTTTGGCTGCTTTACATACAGCTCACCTTGCTTCAAAGTCAACTCAAAAAAGGATTCCTGAGTCAACCCTGATGGCCTAGCATTTAAAGTTCGATAGGCTCCGCTTCGGCAGCCCAGGTTCAGTTCCCACTCCTGGAACCACACCACTCGTCTGTCAGTAGCCATGCTGTGGAGGCGGCTCACACAGAAGAACTAGAAGAACCTACAGTGATACACAACTACGTACTGGGGCTTTGGGGAGAAAAAAAAGAAGAGGAAGATTGGCAACAGAGGTTAGCTCAGAGTGCCACTTGCCCAGCAAAAAAAAAAAAAAAAAGATTTCTTCTGACAACTTACAACCCAACTTTCAACCTTCAGGCCTAGCCACTGAAGCCTCAGAGGGCAATCCTGTTGTAGCTCATTCCTCTCTGCCTGTCTCCGCAGAAGATGGTGATGATGATGACGATGATGACATAGCTAATATTTATTGAGTATGTGCCCGTGTCAAGCATTGCTCTGAATGCTTTACATGTACTAACTCATTTAATCCTCACACCTGTGAAGTAGTCCTATTCCTTAGCATCCCCATTTTACAGATGAAGAAACTGAGGCAAACAGAGGTTAAGTAATTTCCCAGGCCTGCATAACCTCACAGCCCACACTCTTCCCTCCCTGAGCTTTGAGAAGCAACTTCTCACTTCTCTGGGCCCATATATCAATTTCTTTGCACTTCTAACACCTAACTCACACTGTCTTGAATCAAATTAGGAAGCAGTGAAGCATAGTGGTTAAGCACATGGGTTCTGAGATAAGGCAGCTCTGTCACTAAGTAGGTAACTTTGGGCAAATTATTTGCCCTGTCTGAGCCTTAGGTTCCTCATCTGAAAAAGGGGTAGTACCTAGCTCCCTGGGTTATTGGAAGGATTAAATAAATCAATACCTATAAACTACATGGTACAGTGCTTGGTTCCAGTAGGGCAAGC